GGGGCTGGTCCCTATCCCAGGGCTATACTGGGCTCTACTGGGCCAGGCTGGTCCTCGTACTGGTCCCGGTTCCAGGGCTCTACTGGGCCAGGCTGGTCCCCGTGCTGGTCCCAGTCCCAGTGGGATACTGGGCCAGGCTGGGCCTGGTGCTGGCCCCAGTCCCTGGACTATACTGGGGCGGACTGGTCCCCGTGCTGGTCCCAGTCCCAGGGCTATACTGGGCCAGGCTGGGCCCGGTGCTGGTCCCAGTCCCAGTGGGATACTGGGCCAGGCTGGTCCCAGTGCTGGTCCCAGTTCCCGGACTATACTGGGCCAGGCTGGTCCTTGTACTGGTCCCAGTTCCAGTGCGATACTGGGCCAGGCTGGACCCGGTGCTGGTCCCAGTCCCCGGGCTATACTGGGCTAGGCTGGTCCCGGTGCTGGTCCCAGTCCCTGGGCTATACTGGGCCAGGCTGGTCCCCGTCCTTGGGCTATACTGGGGCAGACTGGTCCCGGTGCTGGTCCCAGTCCCTGGGCTATACTGGGCAGGCTGGTCCCCGTCCTTGGGCTATACTGGGCCAGGCTGGTCCCAGTCCCAGGGCAATACTGGGCCAAGCTGGTCCTGGTCCCAGTCCCCAAGGGATACTGGGCCAGGCTGGCCCTGGTGCTGGTCCCAGTTCCAGGGGGATACTGGGCTAGGCTGGTCCTGGTGCTGGTCCCAGTTCCAGGGGGATACTGGGCCAGGCTGGTCCCAGTTCCAGGGGGATATTGGGCCAGGCTGATCCCAGTCCCAGGGCTATACTGGGCAGACTGGTCCTGGTCCTAGTGCCAGGGCTATACTGGGCAGACTGGTCCTGGTCCCAATCCCAATTCTATACTGGGCAGACTGGTCCCAGTCCCGGTCCCAGTCCCAGGGCTATACTGGGCAGACTGGTCTCAATTCCAGGGGGATATTGGGCCAGACTGGTCCTGGTCCCAGTCCTGGTCTCAGTCCCAGGGCTATACTGGGCAGACTGGTCCCAGTTCCAGTCCTAGTCCCAGTTCTATACCGGGCAGACTGGCCCCAGTCCCAATCACCGTTCTATACTGGGGAGACTGGTCCCAGTGCCAGTGCCATACTGGTGCCAGTCCCAGTGCCAGTGCCATACTGGGCAGACTGGTCCCAGTGCCATACTGGGCAGACTGGTGCCAGTCCCAGTGCCAGTCCCATACTGGGCAGACCGGTCCCAGTGCCATACTGGGCAGACTGGTACCAGTGCCAGTGCCATACTACTGGGCAGACTGGTACCATTGCCAGTCCCATACTGGGCAGACTGGTCCCAGTCTCAGGGCTATACTGGGCAGACTGGTCCCAGTCTCAGGGCTATACCGGGCAGACTGGTCCCAGTCCCATACTGGGCAGACAGGTCCCAGTGCCAGTGCCAGTGCCATACTGGGCAGACTGGTACCATTGCCAGTCCCATACTGGGCAGACTGGTCCCAGTCTCAGGGCTATACTGGGCAGACTGGTCCCAGTCTCAGGGCTATACCGGGCAGACTGGTCCCAGTGCCAGTGCCAGTCCCATACTGGGCGGACTGGTGCCATTGCCAGTCCCATACTGGGCAGACTGGTCCCAGTGCCAGCCGGGCCCCCCTGCCCCAGACCAACCCCAGCGCCGGGGCGCGGCCGGTGCTTCCCAACGGGGACTTCCAGTGCGAACCAGTTCTCCCAGTATCCCCAGTCCCCCCCTCCCCAAGGGCGGGCCCAGGGGGGCGATGGCGGCCATGGCTTTCTTCCCCCCCCCCGGTCCCCGGCGCGGGGGGGCTGAGGGCCCGCGGGCCCGGTGGCTCGGGTCCTGTCCCCACTCCCCCGGGGACCTGTCCCCATCCCGGGGGCCACATGCCGACCCCTGGGGTCCTGTCCCCACCCCGTGTCGCCATCCCAGGGACCTGTCCCCATCCCAGGGGCCACATCCTGACCCCAGGGTCCTGTCCCCACTCCCCCGGGGACCTGTCCCCATCCCGGGGGCCACATGCCGACCCCTGGGGTCCTGTCCCCACCCCGTGTCGCCATCCCAGGGACCTGTCCCCATCCCAGGGGCCACATCCTGACCCCAGGGTCCTGTCCCCACTCCCCCGGGGACCTGTCCCCATCCCGGGGGCCACATGCCGACCCCTGGGGTCCTGTCCCCACCCCGTGTCGCCATCCCAGGGACCTGTCCCCATCCCAGGGGCCACATCCTGACCCCAGGGTCCTGTCCCCACTCCCCCGGGGACCTGTCCCCATCCCGGGGGCCACATGCCGACCCCTGGGGTCCTGTCCCCACCCCGTGTCGCCATCCCAGGGACCTGTCCCCATCCCAGGGGCCACATCCTGACCCCAGGGTCCTGTCCCCACTCCCCCGGGGACCTGTCCCCATCCCGGGGGCCACATGCCGACCCCTGGGGTCCTGTCCCCACCCCGTGTCGCCATCCCAGGGACCTGTCCCCATCCCAGGGGCCACATCCTGACCCCAGGGTCCTGTCCCCACTCCCCCGGGGACCTGTCCCCATCCCGGGGGCCACATGCCGACCCCTGGGGTCCTGTCCCCACCCCGTGTCGCCATCCCAGGGACCTGTCCCCATCCCAGGGGCCACATCCTGACCCCAGGGTCCTGTCCCCACTCCCCCGGGGACCTGTCCCCATCCCGGGGGCCACATGCCGACCCCTGGGGTCCTGTCCCCACCCCGTGTCGCCATCCCAGGGACCTGTCCCCATCCCAGGGGCCACATCCTGACCCCAGGGTCCTGTCCCCACTCCCCCGGGGACCTGTCCCCATCCCGGGGGCCACATGCCGACCCCTGGGGTCCTGTCCCCACCCCGTGTCGCCATCCCAGGGACCTGTCCCCATCCCAGGGGCCACATCCTGACCCCAGGGTCCTGTCCCCACTCCCCCGGGGACCTGTCCCCATCCCGGGGGCCACATGCCGACCCCTGGGGTCCTGTCCCCACCCCGTGTCGCCATCCCAGGGACCTGTCCCCATCCCAGGGGCCACATCCTGACCCCAGGGTCCTGTCCCCACTCCCCCGGGGACCTGTCCCCATCCCGGGGGCCACATGCCGACCCCTGGGGTCCTGTCCCCACCCCGTGTCGCCATCCCAGGGACCTGTCCCCATCCCAGGGGCCACATCCTGACCCCAGGGTCCTGTCCCCACTCCCCCGGGGACCTGTCCCCATCCCGGGGGCCACATGCCGACCCCTGGGGTCCTGTCCCCACCCCGTGTCGCCATCCCAGGGACCTGTCCCCATCCCAGGGGCCACATCCTGACCCCAGGGTCCTGTCCCCACTCCCCCGGGGACCTGTCCCCATCCCGGGGGCCACATGCCGACCCCTGGGGTCCTGTCCCCACCCCGTGTCGCCATCCCAGGGACCTGTCCCCATCCCAGGGGCCACATCCTGACCCCAGGGTCCTGTCCCCACTCCCCCGGGGACCTGTCCCCATCCCGGGGGCCACATGCCGACCCCTGGGGTCCTGTCCCCACCCCGTGTCGCCATCCCAGGGACCTGTCCCCATCCCAGGGGCCACATCCTGACCCCAGGGTCCTGTCCCCACTCCCCCGGGGACCTGTCCCCATCCCGGGGGCCACATGCCGACCCCTGGGGTCCTGTCCCCACCCCGTGTCGCCATCCCAGGGACCTGTCCCCATCCCAGGGGCCACATCCTGACCCCAGGGTCCTGTCCCCACTCCCCCGGGGACCTGTCCCCATCCCGGGGGCCACATGCCGACCCCTGGGGTCCTGTCCCCACCCCGTGTCGCCATCCCAGGGACCTGTCCCCATCCCAGGGGCCACATCCTGACCCCAGGGTCCTGTCCCCACTCCCCCGGGGACCTGTCCCCATCCCGGGGGCCACATGCCGACCCCTGGGGTCCTGTCCCCACCCCGTGTCGCCATCCCAGGGACCTGTCCCCATCCCAGGGGCCACATCCTGACCCCAGGGTCCTGTCCCCACTCCCCCGGGGACCTGTCCCCATCCCGGGGGCCACATGCCGACCCCTGGGGTCCTGTCCCCACCCCGTGTCGCCATCCCAGGGACCTGTCCCCATCCCAGGGGCCACATCCTGACCCCAGGGTCCTGTCCCCACTCCCCCGGGGACCTGTCCCCATCCCGGGGGCCACATGCCGACCCCTGGGGTCCTGTCCCCACCCCGTGTCGCCATCCCAGGGACCTGTCCCCATCCCAGGGGCCACATCCTGACCCCAGGGTCCTGTCCCCACTCCCCCGGGGACCTGTCCCCATCCCGGGGGCCACATGCCGACCCCTGGGGTCCTGTCCCCACCCCGTGTCGCCATCCCAGGGACCTGTCCCCATCCCAGGGGCCACATCCTGACCCCAGGGTCCTGTCCCCACTCCCCCGGGGACCTGTCCCCATCCCGGGGGCCACATGCCGACCCCTGGGGTCCTGTCCCCACCCCGTGTCGCCATCCCAGGGACCTGTCCCCATCCCAGGGGCCACATCCTGACCCCAGGGTCCTGTCCCCACTCCCCCGGGGACCTGTCCCCATCCCGGGGGCCACATGCCGACCCCTGGGGTCCTGTCCCCACCCCGTGTCGCCATCCCAGGGACCTGTCCCCATCCCAGGGGCCACATCCTGACCCCAGGGTCCTGTCCCCACTCCCCCGGGGACCTGTCCCCATCCCGGGGGCCACATGCCGACCCCTGGGGTCCTGTCCCCACCCCGTGTCGCCATCCCAGGGACCTGTCCCCATCCCAGGGGCCACATCCTGACCCCAGGGTCCTGTCCCCACTCCCCCGGGGACCTGTCCCCATCCCGGGGGCCACATGCCGACCCCTGGGGTCCTGTCCCCACCCCGTGTCGCCATCCCAGGGACCTGTCCCCATCCCAGGGGCCACATCCTGACCCCAGGGTCCTGTCCCCACTCCCCCGGGGACCTGTCCCCATCCCGGGGGCCACATGCCGACCCCTGGGGTCCTGTCCCCACCCCGTGTCGCCATCCCAGGGACCTGTCCCCATCCCAGGGGCCACATCCTGACCCCAGGGTCCTGTCCCCACTCCCCCGGGGACCTGTCCCCATCCCGGGGGCCACATGCCGACCCCTGGGGTCCTGTCCCCACCCCGTGTCGCCATCCCAGGGACCTGTCCCCATCCCAGGGGCCACATCCTGACCCCAGGGTCCTGTCCCCACTCCCCCGGGGACCTGTCCCCATCCCGGGGGCCACATGCCGACCCCTGGGGTCCTGTCCCCACCCCGTGTCGCCATCCCAGGGACCTGTCCCCATCCCAGGGGCCACATCCTGACCCCAGGGTGCTGTCCCCACTCCGTGCCCCCATCCCTGGGACCTGTCCCCATCCCGACCCCAGGGTCCTGTCCCCACTCCGTGTCCCCATCCCGGGGACCTGTCCCCATCCCGTGGGCCATATCCTGACCCCAGGGTCCTGTCCCCACTCCCCCGGGGACCTGTCCCCACTCCGTGTCCCCATCCCGGGGACCTGTCCCTAATCCCATGGGCCACATCCTGACCCCAGGGTCCTGTCCCCATCCCGGGGGCCCTGTCCCCATCCCAGGGTCCTGTCCCCACCCTGTGTCCCCATCCCGGGGACCTGTCCCCATCCCAGGGGCCACATCCCAACCCCGGGGTCCTGTCCCCACCCTGTGTCCCCATCCCGGGGACCTGTCCCCATCCTGGGGGCCACATCCTGACCCCCGCGGTCCTGGACCCACTCCGTGTCCCTGTCCCCACCCTGTGTCCCCATCCCAGGGACCCGTCCGTAATCCCATGGGCCACATCCTGACCCCTGGGGTCCTGTCCCCACCCCATGTCGCCATCCCAGGGACCTGTCCCCAATCCCAAGGGCCACATCCCAACCCCAGGGTCCTGTCCCCACCCTGTGTCCCCATCCCGGGGACCCGTCCGTAATCCCATGGGCCACATCCTGACCCCAGGGTCCTGTCCCCACTCCGTGTCCCCATCCAGGGGGCCTGTCCCCCTGTCCCCAATCCCATGGGCCACATCCTGACCCCAGGGTCCTGTCCCCAC